GCGGGGGGCCAGGGTCCCCCCCCCAGCTGTCACTGTGCCGGTGCTTGTGCGAGGCATCCACAGCAAAGATGGGAGAAGGACCCGGGTGTCCCACAAGCTGCTGATCCTTTGCGGGTGGCTGGGGGCAGGCAACAGTGGGGCAGAGCCATGGGGACCCCGTGCCCCTATTCCCATCTCATCTCTGCTTGCCGGGGTTTGCTGAGCGCAGGGGGGGGTCGCACCCTCCTCCCCACCACCAGCAGCTGCCCGGCAGAGCCCTGCCCTTGGCAGGCATTCCGGGATTCCTCCGGGCTTAAAACTCCCCGTCCCTTCCCATCAAGAGGGATTTGAAGCCGGGGAGAGGGGGGCTTAGTTCCCAGCTTGCCCATTACGTCCGGGAATTAGGATCCATTACTGCTCTTTCGGCGAGACCGGGGCCCCCTGCCCTACATCCGCACCCCCTCCCCGGCACTAATGCACTGGGCTCAGACCCAGCTCCCGGCAGCCCTTATGTAAATAAAGTGCGGGGGCAAAGATTTTGATCCCATTAGGCAGGATTAACGCCTTGCAAGGCCCTGGCATTAAAATTTCATCGGTGGTGGAGGGAGAGAGCCAGGGTTGTCCCCGCTCCTGTCCCCCTTCTCTGTTGCCAGCGGTTGGCATCCCGTTTATCCCACCTATCGCCGCCGGCAGCTCGGCTGGAGCGGCTCAGCCTGGAGGCAGCACCCCCTGCACCGCTCCCCGGTGGGGCTCAGCCCTGGGGTCACCGGTGCTGCGGGGGCCGGTGTGGGCAGGATGGGGACAGCACAATTCGGTGGCACCTTTCTGCGTGGAGGGGACCGTGCTGGGCTGGCATAGCTGGCACAGCATGGCACGGCACGGCACCTGGCCAGCGGCCCCGGGGAGCTCAGCACGGGCCCGTGCCGCCAGCAGATGTGCAGATGTTCCCAGGGACGCTTCTCGCTGCCGCCTGTGTTTGGAAAGTGATGAATTTCTGCACCAAATAATTAGTTTCTAATTAGCAAGTGGAGTGTAAACAGTCACAACAGATGGGGGAGAGGTGGAATTAGCAGTAATGACCCTTCGTTTGGGGGGCACGTGGCTGTCACGCACTGGGAAACCTCCCGCTGGGTCCAGGACCGGGGGAATCGCAGCCCTCATCCATGCCGGCTCTGCGGTGGGGTGGTGAGATGGTGGGCACCCCCGGGCACCCCAAATTTGGTGGTGCTGTGGCCTGTCATGCTGCAGGGATGGGGGGAGAGAGGAGCTCCCCCCTGCCTGCTGGGAGCAGAGTTGAGATGCTGCATGCTGCCGGCGCGCCGGGGAGCGGAGGGAAACCGAGGCAGGGAGGGCTGCCAGAGGGGCTGGGGTGCGAGGGGGCGCAGCGCTGCTCAGCATCAGGGCCCCCCACCCTTCTCCCCTCCGAGCTGCAGCACGTTGCGCTGGTGGGAGGGGC